TGTCTGTCAGGCCCTTAGGCTTCTGTCTTACAGGATGTAATTGCACAAGCCACCTTACTCATGCATTGCCTCTGGTTTCCCGTTTTGGATGTCTCCAAGCTGCCCTCAGCCTAGCTAATGTCATTCCCTGGCTTTACAAAGTGTCTTTCTCATGTGTGTTTCCACTCAAGAAGTCAGAAGTCTGGAAGGTTTTTCTCAGTTCGCTCAAATCTGCTTTCCCACTTGCTTGCTTTCTCTCCTCCTCTCTCTTTTTTCCTTAAGGTGTAAAAGTTCAGATGTATCTTTTGAACTCTCCTTTAGGTTTGAGAAAAGTGAAAATATCCTACCCTAGAGAAAATCAGAATGTCTTTCATTTGTGTTGACCCAGCATTTTTTGTGCTTATTTATTTGCTATATTAATTTCTGTGAATGCTAGGTAAGATCTAAAGACACTTAGCACTCCTTTTTTTTTTTTTTTTCTATTGAGTTAGGGCTGTGGAGAGCAGATTTTACTACTACCTGCAGGACAGCACCAAGTATGGAACATACTTTTTGTAAAAGATAATGCAGGTATTTTAGCAGATTTTTATGATGTCTTAGTCTCAAAGTGCTTCCTGTGCTAAAAGAAAATTGAAAACGCATATATAAATAGCCGGAAAGAATGTAGAGGGCTTAGCATGGAGTCTGTTCATCACTGAAAGACAGTCCTTTCTGGGTTAAGTGTATTGGCATTAGTATAAAGCTGCTTCCTCTATTATAGCATATTGTCCTTGTTCTTCAGTAATTTGAAACTTTCCAGAAGCAATATTTTGTGTTCTATGTTACTTCCTCTTGGCTAAGTTGAAGAGGATCATAATTTTAGAAGTTACAGAAGGAAAATCTCTGTGAGATTTTGATTCACATGTGTATACATCCAATCATTTAATGTAAGAAGAGAGAGAGAAAAAAATAGTAGTAGTGTTAATGATTAAATGTATCTTTTGCCTTAAAGGTATTCCTGGATTATCAGGACAGAAAGGTTATCAAGGTCTCCCAGGTGACCCTGGCCCTCCAGGACTTAGTGGCCCACCAGGTGCACCAGGATTACCAGGTAAGCAAGCAAAGGTTTTAAACGGACAGTTTTGATATGTAAAAGTTTGCATATATTTTGATACTGTTCTGTTGGGGTGTGGATCAAGATATGCCTAAGCAAGGCCTGAGGATTTACACTTAAAGCTGCAGCACAGCTTTGGGAAATTCTAAGTCTTTATCCAGATGCCATGCTTCAAGTTCTTTCCTCCTAACAGGGCCAAAAGCATTTTTGAGTTATTGATGCCTCTGAAGATTGAGATTACCTTTGGGATAATTGGAAAAATGCCTACTGCTTAGCTAAGCAACAGGATTTGCCTGTTTTGTATGCTTATTTTTTATATTATTAGTCACATTTTGCATAAGGCCAAATGAAGACTTTGTGAAGGCTAGCTGAATGTCACAGCTTTGCTTTCAAGAATTTCAGGTATTAAGAAAGTACTTCTTCCCTACAGCTATAACAAATCATCTGAAATCTTGTTGCTTTGGCTAAAGAGGATGTAGATCTTGCTCTAGATATCTTGTGTGGCTTTGGGAATTTTCTTAACAATCCAGGACTCAAACTAGTCAGAGTCACATTTAACTCCTTAATAGAAGCTACTGAATAACTATTGCAGATGAGAAAGAGATAATGTGTGAATTCATTCTGCAGAACAAATCATGAGAGACAGAGTCACTTCAGATGGTTTCTAAATCATACTCTGAGGTTTGACCCATTTCATTAGACTAATCTCAAGAACAAAGAAGATGATGTCCTAATCTCAGCTCAGAACAAACAAGTTTAAAACTATTTCAGTGCATATGAGGAGAAGGTATGCTAGAACAGTTTGATGCCCAGAGCAACTCCATATGGTTAGCCTTTGTAATTAGATGGTATGACTATATTAATATGAGAATGCATGAATATCAGAAACTTTTAATTATTCATTAACTAAACATACTTTTTTCTAGGCATCAAGGGAGACACAGGACTTCCTGGGCAACCAGGACCAACAGGACCTCCAGGATTAAAAGGTGCCATGGGAGAGATGGGCCTTCCAGGTAAGGTGTTGTGCTCATATTTTATTTAATTTTGGCCAGTGCTTCCCATGTAGTAGAAAAGTGGATCTGCTTGTGTGCCGATTTGCTTATATATCTAAGAATATGTCTAAATGTGAAGGATACACGAAGGACATGTAAAACCCAGTAGACATATTTCCAGAAATAATACAGAAAAATTTGGAAATACCTGTTAAAACAGAAAATTCAATAACTAAAGAATATTGTAAGCATGTGTTATTATTAACTACTTCATAGAATCATAGAATGCTTAAGGTTGGAAGGGACCTCTAGAGATCATCTAGTCCAACCCCCCTGCACATGCAGGGTCACCTAGAGCACGTGGCACAGGACTGTATCCGAGTGGGTTTTGAAGATCTCCAGAGAAGGAGACTCCACAACCTCTCTGGGCAGCCTGTGCCAGTGCTCTGTCACCCTCACTGTCAATAAATTTTTCCTTAAGTTCCTGTGGAACTTTTGGTGTTTCAGTTTCTGGCTGTTCCCTCTAGTTCTATCAGTGGCCACCAGTGAAGAGGCCAGCACCATTCTACTACTTATAGCTGTAGAAGCAGAATGATATGCTTTTTTAATATTTTTTTCTCCTTTTCTGGTGTTTTTCATTCTCCCCTTTGAAATACTTCAGAAAAAAAGATGGCTCTGCAAACTCAACTGCCAAAAAAAATCAGATACAAATCATAAAAGGGGAAGCAGACAGTGAATTCAGTTACATAGAAAGATTGCTCAAGTTCCTGAGACTTCTATTGCTAAGTGTTGACTAGCAAGAGTATTTGAATTTGATTGTAATTACAGAATTAAAAGGAAAGCTTAGAAATATCATTAAATAACCATGAGAGAATTTAGATAATTGTTTATTTTAATATGTTTTTAAAAATAAAAGCCAGATATTAAAAACCAGATACTCTGTTCATTTGTCTTTTCTAGTTGAGTTTGTCTATTCTGACTTCTCTGACCAACTGCCGAAGAATTATTTGTATCTATATAACTCATATTTTATGTTTTGTACAGGTCCCCCAGGGATTAAAGGCAGCCAAGGAGTAGGAGGACGTCCAGGCCAGCCTGGGCCAGCTGGATTTCCTGGACTGAAGGGGGAAAAAGGTGACCCTGGTCTTTCAGACATCGGAATTCCTGGTCCCCCTGGATCAAAGGTAGATTTACAAAATTCTTCTATGGAACAATCACATGAGAAAAGGAGATTTCATGTTCGCTTTTTAACTGTGGTTTATACATATATATACCTACAAATATGTGCATATAAATCTATATATATTGAAATATATAAACATGCTAATTTTAAAGGTGGAAGTGTTTATATATAATTTCATCTGATTAGAGCGGAAGATTGTTGCAGACATTTCAAGTTGTGTTCAGTTAGTGGTCTGGGCTGTGTTGACACCTGCACACATTTTCATAGTTGGTAGGGAGTTACAAGATGAATACCTTTGTTCCAATATTTCGTGATGCACTTAATTTTAAAAATGTTATGACATGCATTTGCAAATAAATTACTAAGGAATTGATATAACATGATAATAAGTTTACGCAGAGTTTACAAGTTTACAAACATCCTCCCATCTGTCACCCACAAGAAGCTGTTTTATTCAAGATACATGGAATATCTAGCATTTTTCACTGATGCCTTACAAATGATGTCGAGCAGCAACTAATTTATCAAAAACTTTTCATAATTAAAGCTCCACCAACTTCTTCTATTCTGCTTCATTGTGGGGTACTACATAATCAAAAGATCTTGATTTCTTAAAGTTGATTGGATTTTGCTGCTCTTTTGACAGTATCCTCACTGTTTTGTTATGAAAATCACTTTGATACTTTAGGGGCTCATGTAATTTGGGCAAAGATAGTAAGAGAATTCTTTTATGTCCCTGAGCTAGGCAAATAACAGATGGCGTTATGCTTGGTAAAAACGCCATCCGTGTCTTTCAAGACTGTCAAAAATGAGACCCCAGGTTTTTGGTTGATTTTATAGATGACCATGACTAAAGTTCTTCTGTCTGTTTTGTTTGGTTTTTAATCATCATGTACATAATTATGTGTAATTTCAGGGATGAGCTAGTTTTCTTCTACTCTGGGAAGCATTAGTTAATTATAGTTCATTCCATATATCTACATTTAGAACAATTTTCTGGCTTTATATGTTTGTCTAGAAAACATTGGTGACCCGAATAACTTCTATTAAGATTTGACATTTCTTTATGGGTAAAAGAAATTGCAAGGGGATGTGAATGTCCAACTTAAATGCAGTTGAGCCCAGTTGATGAACTGAGATGTCTGCATAATAATCAAGAATTAAATAGGAATGCATCAGGATTGTGCATGTTTATGCTAAATAATTGGACTGTCTTGCCTTGCCTTGCATATATCTCCACTAGTAGTAAAGAGTAGTAAAGAGAAAGTGCTCAGTTAAACAGAAGTTGAAGATTTACTTGGGAGAAAACTGTGCTGGTAAACTGGCATTGAGGTCTTCTAAGACCTAGATACAATACTGACAGTTTCAGTGTTATATTTAAAGTAAACCTGTTGAAGAGCTAAAATAAAAGTTTCTGCCTATTCCAAAAGGAAAGGGAACACAGTTCTTTAAGATAGGCCAGCTTTGGAGAAAAGCTGTAAGACACTTTATTTATACAAATATACAGGAGCCATCATTGATGTCTTTACAGTGGCATCTTATTTCTGCTTAATGTTTTCTAGGGTGATCTTGGTTTGCCTGGATACCCAGGCAGTCCAGGCAGTAAAGGTATAGCTGGAAATCCTGGTTCGCCTGGGTTGCCAGGAAATCCGGGTGCAAAAGGAGAACCTGGACTTCCTGGATTCCCAGGTAATTCTGCATTTACACTGAGCTGGAATTTCTTGTCTTTTCTCCCTTGTGCTCTTGCTTTAGTACATACATCTAAACACGGTGGGTAATTGGTGGAGGGCTGCAGCTTCTTTGAAAGGTTAAAGCAATCTAGTGCCTCTAAGCCTTGTGCTGTTGGAACTGTCACTGCAAATATAAATGTCTTGGTACATCATTTCAGAATTCCTTCTGAAATTAGTCTGAATTACTTATGAAATATACCTTGAGGGGATGCAGTGGTGGTGTTCCCCACTTGCTCATTCTCAGCTGTCATGTTTTTTCATGTTTGGCCCCATGGTTTACCTTTGAGAATCAGTAAAGAAATATCACCAGGAAAGCTGAGATTTTAATGGAGTTTATTATCTAGTAAGAAAACAGGATTGTTCCCAAAGTCTTCTGGATCAACAAAATGGGGTTTTGAGCTCTTTAAATCTAAGATACAATAAAATTGAGACGTGAAAGAACTGACATGTACTCATAAGCAATCTGTATTTAAACAAGGTTTTTGTCTATGCTGCATTTGCAGCTGTAAAGGCTGTTCCTACAAATATGCTTGACATGTCTTTAACATAGAAAGGGAGGGCATTTACAACAGGGCAGTCACAGCAGCCAGAAACTTAGCAGAGAACAGAACCTGGCCGTGAACCTGGGAGTATTCAACCTGTGCTGCATGTCATGCCTAAAAGACTGTGTTCAGGCGAAATGGTGTATTCAGGCACTGTCTTTGTCTTGTTCCAATGCTCTTCAGAATAAACACACTTCAAGGGATTGATCTTTTTTCTTATCTTCCACTCAGTTCATGTTTCAGTGCTGAGCGTAGGGTGTAAATTCTAACCAAAACCATGGTTATTAAGATGCTTTTGAGTAAATAAAAAGAGGATTAGAAAATGGCCACAGTCCATAATGCTCTCGCATTGTTGTTGACTAGAAATACCTGTCTCTAAAATGGCAGTTTCCTAGCAGACTCTCAGACTGAGTCTGTCCTTCACCACTGGCACTTAACACTTAAGACAACAGTGTCGAAGATGGTGCTTGAGAATAGCAGTAACAACTCAGTCATGCTAGTATGTTTTGCTTCCATATGTTCTTTTTTATAATTTACTTGGTCTCTTTGAATGATCAACTGTAAACTTGCAATGCGTGCATAGATACAGTAGCTTGATAAAATTTATTCAATTGTAAATTGGTGCATCTCAGACTATAGCATTTCAGTTTTGTGCTGTATTTAATTGAAATGCCTGCACTTTACAGGAACGCCGGGAATTCCAGGGCCAAAAGGTATTGAGGGGCCTCCAGGTAATCCTGGTTTGCCTGGACCACCTGGACCAGTAGGTGAGTATAAATAGTACAGCAAAGGTCAACTGCTTCTGCAAAATGCACA